GACGAAAATGTACCAAGAAATGGTAATAGTAAATGTCAATATCAGACAGATTTCCTCATCCAGAATATTGTTTTTTGCCCTGAAATTTTGCACTGATTAGAAAAAAAACATTGCATTGGATGCCTTTAAATCTATGACATTGTTTTTATACTACTCGGCTGCCCAACCCCTTGGATGGAAATCGGACAGCCTGCGAACTCAAAAGAAGCCGCTACATGGCGCTATTGCATGGACTACTAGTATTGAAGAGACCATGGTAGTATACTGGTACGTCATTGCCATTAAGACTCACTGAACCAATAGGCCCTTGTTGCAGTACCGCCCACTATTGCATGGTGGCGCTCGTGCACTGATGATTTGGATGTATCTACAATGTACTCTGTCAAATGTACATTTTGTAAAGTCGATATTACTGGGAGACCGTTAAATGAATGGGCTGCACCCGATAGGGGCCCAGAGAGGTTTGCTACCCTAGACTGGAATATATTAATGGGGCCCAGCATAACATGTCTGCTTGGAAGTTGAAAATGACACGAAGTATCTGAAAACTTAGCATGTCTGCAATATCCTAGCCTCTACCAGGCTTCGGGAGGCGGCTGGAAAGAGTAGAGATCGGCCAAATAGAGAGAGATAACATGCCAGGGGAGTTGGTCCGCTGAAGAGTACATTTTGGCAAACTGTTCTCTCCAGCAGACCAACTCCCCTGGCATGCTATTTATCAAGCCGCCTCCTGAAGCCTGGTAGAGGCTAGCAATATCGTAGATTGGTCCTAGTCTTCACCAGACCCCTTTGCAGGCTGAATAAATAGTAGAAATCTGCCTAAAAAAAGAACGTAACTGGCCAGGGGAGATTTCTACTATTTATTCAGCCTGCAAAGGAGTCTGGTGTACTACATGTAGAATGGCCCTACAATTCTTTGTATTCAAAGCTGCAGCTAAAAATCCTTCATAAAAAAATCTGCACTCTTATTCAAAATCCTTGGGCAGAGAGAAAGCATCCGAAGAGAAATAAAACAATAACACATCAGACCAAGACATGATGCATTTTATTCGACTTCATACATACATACTGTAACATACACATTTGCCTTTCACACATTTTCCAATACATAATCCTTATCTATAATATTCCTATGTGTAACATAATCGATTTATTATTTCCAACCCTTAATATTAGTAATGTAGTGAGAGTTGGGGGAAAGACAAGTTCAGATTTTCCAGCTCTGCTGCATTAAAGGCATCCAGTTCAGTTTTTAGGGCATATTCAAGCCATTTATCTACATACTGAGTTGAAACCACACTATCCCATTGTATATTGACCCTCATGGAGCAAAAAAGTAAAAAAATTCTGACAGAAAATGGTTACTGGAAGGGCCCTGGGCTGATTTCTATGGTGCCACCCGGAAAATAAAGGACTCATCTTGGGGCTTGTTTATGCAGTTTTAAATACCCAAAGTATGAAATGCTGATTCCAATGTGCTCATGTGAAACAGTATGTGTCAACATCACAAAGATTGCTTCATTCAGAATATTTCCAGTTTTGCTGCTCTAAAATTGCATTGGATGCCTTTAACTTTAAGGTAACTACATTGTAGATCCATGTGATTAAAAGTTGCTATATAAATGTGCAATGCTACAACTGAGATTGTGTGAGAATTAGAATACCATGATTATGTTTTATATTTGCATACTGCATTTTTTGTGACCTACAAAAAAAACTTCCAACATCTGCTTGAACATCAAAACCAAGAATTCAGTATTATTTTGATACCATGATTGTCAGCATAGTCTTTGTACATGTTAATACATTGTACATTGTTTCATTGTAATACAGTGAAATACATTGTACATTAATTTCGTATTGTTTGTCTTCGGTTGTGCAACATATCGAAAAGTCAACTTCACAATTTACTGGAGAAAAATTAGACATTCAATTATTAGAAAAAAATAATGACATTTTTTTATTAATAACCTCCTTGGAAAAAACATAGTCTCCACCAGACTCCTTTGCAGGCTGAATAAATAGTAGAAATTGGCTGAGGCAAGCTGGACCCTCTTTGGCCGGCCAACTCCTCTGGCCAATGATGTTCCCCTTAGCCGAATTTCTACTTAATTTATTCAGCCTGCAAAGGAGTCTGGTGGAGACTAGAAAAAACAGCAGCTGCTCCAAGCATTCAACAAAAGCTAATCAGCAATTGGAAATGTCCTCAGGAAAGTACAGCTTTTATTTAAAAGCCTAATATATAATATATAGCTGCCATGGAACCAAAGACTGGACTATAATGTACAAAATGCACCTTGCGATTATCAATGGCAAATTCCTATTAAAGCAAGGTGTTAAGAAAATGTGGAATGTTCTCTGTAACAGTACTGACACCTCCACAACAGAATAGAAACTATACTGAGAGTAACATCCGTGTCCATAATATCACCAGGGTCCATATAATATCGCCACCTTGAGAAATAGTGTGCTTTAAGATATTTTTACTGCAACATGGTATGCACTCCCGCACACCTCAAATGTACATACATGTGCCTAGGGTATGTAGCAGTAAAAATATCTTTAAGCACACTGTTTCTCAAGGTGGCGATATTATGGACCCTGGTGATATTATGGACACAGATGTTATATGTAGCTACCAGAAGCAAAGGCAAGTGTACTGTGTAAGTACATTATTTCATGCAGTACAGTATTGTAGTTATCATACATGTAACTGTATACAAACACATTAGACTATATATCAAATGGGTGGGATAACATTATCATATCATATCAGCTCTGTAACTTCTTGTGTTTGTTAGAGTATTCTGAAGAACTGCATTATCAGTGAAACCATGTGGCTATCTACACAGTATGTGCTGCATTTCAAGTTTCCAACTGTTGGAGTACTATCACAGTTAGACTATGTGTTGTCTATTTCCTTCTAGATTACTATAATTGTAATAAATACTACACTGTTTTTACATGCAAATAGAAAGATTGGAGCCATGCTTTGTACATGTTAGCTTGAGTTAGCAAACAGAACACTAGAAAATTGAATGTACTTTATGATGAAATTGTATAATGACTGTGTTCTTACATGTATATGATCAGAAGTATCTGCATGTTCTGTTTGCTCCTGTATTATAACTCTATAATCAAGTCCATGCAGATAATAAAGGCTCAATTTCATTTCAACACCAGACATTACAAAAAGACTGAACTATTAAACAATATTGGTAGTAAGATTAAAATAACCTCCTCTGCAAAATTCCTGGAAATGGCTTATAGTACTGTGGAGAGTGTGAAACTGGTGAGAGACAACAAAATACTCTTATTATAACTTGAGATGGAGAGTTTTAAAGTTCACAAAAAGATGAGCAGCATTTTTGTTTTTAGAGAAGTACCTTGATATTAGTTACCTATACCTAGTATCATCAGTTCAGTTCAGTTCAGGTCACACTTGTTACTTAATATATAAAAAGCTCTGCTATTGTACAGCTGCTGTAAAAGTTAAACTTAAATACAGTTTATATCATAATCCAAGCAACAGTGAAGAAGATGATTTCATGTAGGCTCCTTTTTAAAGGTGGGCAAGAAGTATATGTAAAATAGACTGTTCGAAACAAAATCTTACCATATACATGTATATGATAGTCCAAACTTTTGCACATGAACTGATGAAGTAACTTAATATTATTAACGCACAGTTACAGTTAAGCTGCAGCTCCATGCAGTATATTGTGACCAAACATTGAATCATTTTTGTTTTGTTCTTTTCCTTGCTTTTATAAGCTGAGTTCCTTAACATTGGAGTGAAGCCTCTGGTTATCTGAGGAATTAGTAGAAGATTAGCCATGCTGAATATGCTGGGCTTGTGCAACAGCAGAACTTACTGGAGTTACAAAAGGCACCGTTAAAAACTTCTTGCCGACAGGTGGACTTAAAAGCTGCCAAAGAAATGTATACCAGTATCATACGTCCTAAATTATTGTTGCAAGCAGTACGTACATGTAGGGATGTACAATGTAGGTCCTACATAAACATGGCAAGCAGGATTACAGGTGAACACGGAGCAAGCCCTACTGGGAGGGGGACATACAGGACTACATTTGTACATACAATACATAATTTACATGTAAAGCTGCACTGTCACACAGTAGGTAGGTACGTAACACAGTCATGTCATTGTTATGTAAGAACTGCAGTAAGATACATGTAGGTGAGTGGGTCATATAATAAGTCTGATACTGTAACAATGTCTGATAGGTTTGGGGCAGTGCTTATAGATACATTTATTTTACTCCTGACTTTATGCTGTCTCATTCCCGTAATACTGGTTATGTAACTGATAAAATGTCGTCTGACATCACACGACATTTCCAGAACTGCAAACAAAATGTCAGATCCTTTCAAACTTTGTTGCTGTTGTCCTTGCTTAAATGTCTTGTATGTACATGTACATGTATGTGTCATGTATATTATGGTGTAAATATGATATCCCCAGGCTTGCACTAGACAAGACTATTAGTAATGAGTTCACTCTAAACCCTTAGTACTATTTCTTCTGCCTACACTATAGTTTATGTTAGCTTTATCACAGTTCACGTGTTAGTGATTATGTATAAAATTGTTCCTACTTATTAATTTGCTACATGTTTGGTTCTTATGTATGCAGGGCTGGAAATACTGGGTGCATGCGCACCTTATAGTGCACCCAAATTTGGAGCTGTGCACCCAATGCACCAGTGCACCCATTTTTGTAGGAATTTTTAATATTAGAAATGCATACATTTGTAATAGTATACCAGATATTCTTGGTCTCTAAGTATCAGAAAAATAATAAAATCGTTGTTATAGTACTTTTGAAGTTAGCTCCCATTTCAGATTCAAGCTCAGAAGATGAGCAGTAAGTCCTACAATTAGGTTTTGTTTCATATGGTGCACCCAAAAATTTAGGTTGGGTGCACCAGTGCACCTGTTCCCAAAAATGAATTTCGAGCCCTGATACAATGTACACTGTATGTCATACATATAATTATAACTGTTATATTATTATCTATCATGATTGCAGAGTTCTGATGATTTTCTTGTCACAGCGCTTTTTGTTTGCTTCCATATAAGGAGTTGTGTTCCATATAAGGAGTTGTGTTCCATATAAGGAGTTGTGTTCCATATAAGGAGTTGTGGGTCCTGATGGGGGCATGTCACCTGTCAATCATCCCGTTAGCAAGGGGGCCGTACCATTGGAGCGGGCGGGGGTGTTCATGTCTGTGCAGGCTCTACTGGAACACAAACAGCCATGCATTAAACATACACAGACACAGCAAAGCACACAGGCACAGGTACAGGACAGGGTGCTATCCACAGGTGCGCTTGGCTCAGTACAGGGTGCTATCCACTTTTTGGCGACGTCTCAGGGAGGAGCCTAATGGCACAGTATTGTGTGCAGTTTGCAAGAATTCTTGGAATTGTACAGGCATTTTGTCCACAGGCATGGAATGTCCACAGGTATTTCTCTGACCCACATCTATGCCCACATTCCTGGAAACCCTGCCCTGGATGGCCCCGGGGCTCGTTCACTATACACTCAGGGGAGGAGTGCACTGTATCTGTCTAGACTTAACTGGTACCAAGTCTTCCTCAAAATCATGAAATGATGGCAGTGCCATGCAAACAAAAACCGTCTCTCCCGGCAAAAACTCCCTCGGCGACTTAACTTTCCCTCCCCAGCATAACTCGCGTTGCTCACCAAAAAAAAAAAAAAAATGCCGCCACCCTACAAATCTGCGAAGGAGGCTGTTTCAAGTTTAGGCTACTAGGACAGCATCTCTTCTCCCTTGTTGGACCAAGTTGAAGCAATGCTAGTGCAGTTTATGTTTAGTTTACGTTTATGAAAATTTGCCACATTATATTTACGACAAGCAACTTGATATGATTTTCAAAACTGTCAGACATTTCAGGTAGCATCCACTACCTTTCGTCTGTAATTTTTGTTAGTCAGTCAATCAGTCATTTTTTTGCGTATCTTAATATGTGGATGTCTAACCTCCACCGATGAAACCTCCCTGCTCTCATCTAAGGATGAAACATTGAATCTATAAAAGGCCTTAAATTGCACGAGAAGTCTCCCTGAGGCAACATCACTCACTGCTACTCCAAATCTCTCCTCATATAACATTTGTATAATGGGTGGAAGGGTCAGAGTCTAATCCTTATAAATGTAGCTCACTCAGGCCTAGGAAAAAAATGTTGTGTTTCCTGTTTCCCAACTGACTAGAAAAACTGCCAACCCTAGACTTTTTCTAGGTGGACCCCTGCAAGGGACATAAATCAACCAACCTTTTCTAGCTCCATTATTTGATCTGACACCTGAGTGATGAAACGTTGTACAATCAGTTTTCCAACATTAACATTGAAAATTTTAAAGTGCTCATGCAAGTTTATAATAATTACTAATACAGTGTAGTTAAAACTGTATTATCGTATAAGTTGTATTACTAGAGATTGCCAAAGTCTAAAAAAAAGGAAGAGGAAAAACGATAGTCGCTACCTACCGACCCTAATTTTTTCAGGACTGAAACAAGACACAACATTTTTTTTCCATAGGCCCAATCCTTATAATGTAGCCCACTCAGGGCAGAACTTAAGTCATCTGAGGACATTGCCTGAGCCTTATATTTCAGCGTCTGGACTGAATGTGTGAGTGTGATATTCCAGGCACTTATTCAGAGACAGATGCAGGTAAAATGAGCACTCTCTCTCTCTCTCTCTTTCACTCGAGGATAATTACCGTAATTTGTAACTAAACTCTCCTTCGTTATAAGTTTGTCTGTCACGTCCTAGCTTTTAGATTTGTAGTTCCAGAATATCAAACATGCCTGTGTGAGTGTATTAAATCCTCTAAAATACCTCTAGTTGCATTCTTAAAGGCTCCAGGGGCAAAGAAATATTTTAAGACTCTAAAAAAATTATGGATCTGCCAGAAGTGTGGTAAAGCATTGGCCTCCTCTAATATCACTTGCCCGGCTCTATGAGGCTTTTTTGGGGGCTTTGGAATATCAGTCTCTCGTAGGTCTCACGTAGGCCACCTCCATATAGAGCCTTACTGTACCCAGATACGTTCTGGATAGTCTCCACATATCCAAGAATGTAGATTTGCCCCAGGAGTTAAGCTTTGGGTGGTTATTATAACTAAGTCTTATAATCTGCTTTCTTTTTTTTTTTTAATGGCAGATTAGTTCTAAGTTTCTTGTTGGCTACAAGAAGCCTACAAGAAACCAAGTCTAAGAACTGATTTGCCAAAAAAACAACAACATAAAACTGTAAGTCCCAAAAAAGCCTAGCTTCTAAGCACTGGCTGTAGAAGGGGCTAGTACAGCATCTTATAGGATGTCATAGACGTAAATTATCAGTTTTTTGGGGGGTGCAGGGTGTGGGGATTGTTTCGTGGATAGCACCCTGGTCAAAGCTATCATTATTACATACAGCCACAAATTTTAAAGCAGCAGTGACTACATGTAAATCATGTATGTCAATCATCAGCAGAGCTACATGTACATGGTTATTATGAGTCACATACAGCAGACAGACATTATTTAGCCACCATGTTGGAACACACTCAGCTGTGGGGGGAAGACATCGCATTATTTTTAGCAACATCAGTGGTGGTGAAAAGAGCTGACTACGTTACTTTGTGCATTTACGATCAACAAAAACACACAGGAGAACACGTATCATGTCCACACGACTGTGAAAACATTAGACACATGCTGGATTAAGGCATCTTGTGCAGAATTATTTGTCCAGTAACTGTTCAACTGTTCATTTTCTTTTCAAAAGCTTAACTACATGTACCCACTATAGTACAGTCTACTGAATGTGAATTTGATTTTTTTAATGGCAACGTGGTCCTAATATACAATAAATAGACTATTTTTTAAAATAACTGAATAAGGCTTATAGCTAAATGTATTAATCTCCAGTAGATGTAAATACTTCAGTATACTTCACAGTGATTCATGTTACTCTCATAAAGTACCTAGATACATGTATGTACAATGTATATCATTTAATAGCACAAAGATTATTTTCCACGAATGGCTTTTTTTCAAATCCTGTTAGCCATGATTCATAATTTATGTTTGCTACAATATATTTGGAGACTATTAAGTTAAACATAAAAGAATAAAGTACCTTATGCATTGTTTAATTTATTGCATGACTACTTTTATCTGAATCTTTTTGACAAATTACAATGTCCATAAAAATGCAGTAGAAAAAGAACATAGACAACGCTTAGATATCAAAAGAAAATAACTAAAGGTAATTTCTCTGTCAGGCAACCTAGGAAAGACAGAACTAGAACATGATAGTATAGCTCTGTGCAAAAAGAAAATTACTGTTCAGAGTTTACAAAAAGCAATCAGTTCAAAATCTTCAACATTGAAAGATAAACGGGTCCATATAAATTTATTCATAACAAGCTTATCTAAGAGAAGATTAAAAAAAAGAACAATTCAAAATAAAAAGAGCTCATCTTCATTCCTTGATGATGAGGCCCAGCTGTTTTCTGTGCATGCTCTCGAGATAAATACGATGTCCATATAATATAAAAACAGCACAAATTTGTTCAAGTTTATCTAATTTTGACTAATTTTGTCTTCAGACCGTACCTTCGTCCATGAGCGTGTGCAAGTCCTTGACGATCAGTCCCAGCTGTTTTCTGTGCGGGCTTTCCCGCTGGAACACGGCGTCGAGGAACGCTCCGTCCCCAAAGAAGTCGAAGACGTGGTCTATCCGGCCGTGCGACTTCTCGGTGAGGTGGTTCCGCACGAGTCTGTGCAGCATCTCGCGACACTCCGCCAGCGAGCGGAGAAGGAACATCTTGTCGTACGTGAAGTCCACCTCGTAGAAGCTGACGACCGTCATGGCCAGGTTACGGAACCTCCGCACAAAGTCGTTCGCGATCCTCAGTTCCTCCTGCGAAAAAAGAGAACAATTTTAATACTAGAGAAGTGACATTTGCAAGCCCATGCGTAGCTAGTGATTACCTTCGGACACGGTCTGCTCTGTTAATCCTTACTCAAACACATTCACATACATGTACTACTAGTATATGGTGACAGGAGCAGAGCAGATCATGAAATTGCAACATTATGTAACCCAACACCAGTTACCATGTTGACAGGCGTCAACAAATAATGTCATTGGTCAGGTCATAGGTCACTGTTTGGAGAAGAAGAAGAGGAAGAAATTGAGCAAAAACAATATGTTTATAAAAACAGCTCAATTTCTTATGTTTATCTCAATTTATTATTTTGATTACAAACCAGCCTGGTATGTTGACTTCGCGGCTCCATTGAGATGCTGTTAGTAGCTCTACTATGTTGGAAATAGATGGTAACAGAGTAGACCGTTGAATGACAAGGTTGCGGAATCTGAGATGAAAGGAATAAAAAGCACCTAAAGCACCTGCGAGAACTGCTCGTTCCGGAACAGGATCCCGATCTTGACCACGATCTTCACCGCATCCTTCATCACCTTCTCGGCCTCCCGTTTGTTTCCCGAGTGGTTCCGCGCGATGCGGTACAGGTTGTCCATCAGGTCAGCCGTGGTGTCGTCCATGAAGCTTTTGGCGACTTTTCTGGTGGACATGCGGCTCAGGACTTTCTTCTGCGCCCGTAACGCGACATTCTTGGAGTTGAATCCAGCGTCCCCACCGGACTCCGCCACTAAAAAGGGGGAAGAACATTGGCAGGAGGTTACGATTAAGAATGCTTTTTGGTACTTTCACAGAAAATTGTAACACTTCTGATGTCCTAATCTTGGGCTACAGAGGGGAGAATCCAAGTTGTTCCTGCTTGACTGCACAGAAGGGGGGGGAGAAACATTGTCAGGACATTAGACATTTGTTTCTGCACGCAGTTATAATTTATAGAATGATGCGGTACAGGTTGTCCATCAGATTAGCCGTTGTGTTGTCCATGAAGCTTTTGGCGACTTTTCTGGTGGACATGCGGCTCAGGACTTTCTTCTGCGCGCGTAACACCATGTTCTTGGAGTTGAACGCAGCGTCCCCACCGGACTCCGCCACTACACGGGAGGGGGTAAACTATCATTAGGAGTGTTTTTATGTGGTGAAATTCATACACATTTTCACAGAAAACTGTAACTGTTAACACTGTGTAGTTAAGTCCCTTAATATGCAGTTGTATACAGTAGAGGGGATTAATTTCTCAAGCTAATTATAACCAACATTTCGCACACACAGTCGTCCCTCAGTAAGACATCTGGAGCCGCATAGTTCCCGTTTAGAACTTTTACTCAGCATGTCTGTCACATAATTTAATTATGATTTGGTAATCTTGAGCTATGGACTTGAACCCTGTGTGCCCGCCCGACTCTGCCACTTAAGGGGGGGATAAATGTTGGCAGGCAATTAGGTTTTTATGTACATAAGCTTGTATATAGCATTATATGTACACATGTCTCACTGTTTTGTAAATTATTATTTATAGATTTTTTACCACAACATGTTAAACTGTTTTGTAAACTGTGTCTAACACAAAAAATGTGTTACATTATTACATTGTTACATGTAGTTTGGCCGGCCATATTTACTATAGTATCATTATCAACACTACAGGTACAATATTTTACCTTTCGAGTATCAAGATATGGGATATTGGTCACGTTTTGGTGGTCTGCGGTCTGGCATTTTCAAACACTTACTACATATATTTCAACATGTCTATATTGGCACTAAAAGTCCTTTTATCTCAAAATTCATAATTTTCTGCTGAAATATTCTACTAGTACCTCTAATTAGCATAAACATGTTATTACAAGATACATGTACAAGCATTCATCATAATTATCATCCACAGTACAACAACAACAAGGTCATCCTACAGCACTACTGCTGTACCAGGTGCACTTATTGATTTCTGTCCAGCCTTTAAAGCAGAATCATTGCCTGGACTGACAGGATCGGGGTCCAAACTGTGATCTATCATTGTTAACATGACATTCCCCTGTAATAACAGGACAAAACCATGATAATATCCTTATTCAGAGGTCGAAATTCATTTTTGGGAATAGGTGCACTGGTCCACCCAACCTAAAAAGTAGGGGCACAAAATTTTCTGTGGGTCAACCATATAAGATAAAATAAGTACATGTAGAATGTCAGCGAAAACTAATTATGTTTAAATTTGTTTCTAAAGAAAAGTACTACAAGAATGATTGTACTATTTTTCTGACACTCAGATGTATGCTGAATACTAGTACTACTCAACATTTCACATCTTGACATATGTAAACCTACAAGAAATATTTGGGTGCACTGGTGCACCCACAGAAAAAAATTGGGTGCACAGCTCCAAATTTGAGGGCCTGCAAGCCCTTTTTCGTAAGGCGTAATCAGGCCGTTTTAGACTTCGTAATTCGTAGGCAACCTCCGCAAAAATCAACGTAATTCGTAATTGGACAACAGCCGCAAATCGTAAAGTCGTAATCAGCTCTGAGACTTAAACGTAATTCGTAATAGGCGGCGAAAATTTTGCGTAATTCATAATCACTACCCCCCCCTTGCAGGCCCTCAAATTTGGGTGCACTAAGGTGAACATGTACCCGGTATTTCGAACCCTGGACCAGGATTGAATGAACCAGATTCATACTGATGATGTGCCATCTGCACAAGTCGGATGTTATATTATTCATAGGTTCTAACCTGACAGCAGACATCTGTCTACAGCATCAGTCTGAGGGAAGAGCAGGGCGGTTAGGAGCTGTTAGTGTTGGGATTATGGTTTAGCTCCAAGCAGATGTTGTAGGAACTATTCATTCATTTATTTACTGAGCGAGATTCCCCACATTTGTGGAAGGATTGACTTAACAAGTGTCTTATACCAATATACACCTTTTCAAGATGCTAACCCGGAGACATTTGCTAAGTCCCTTGGTCCCTTATATATTCCAAGGTATATACATGGTTCAAGTTCCATGATGATGACAACATAGGTAACTTGGACTGTCCAAACAAAGTAATCCCATGACAATTCTTATAAAATGATTAAGTCATCCAAGTAGTCAAAACCTAGTCAGCTTGTAAGACCTAGTCAACTCCAAGTTCAAGTCAGTAAGATGAAGCAGATATCTTTCAATGACAAAACCTTTTGTCAGTCTTACTGCTAATGTAGGTCACAGCTGGAACCTATCACCCCATAGGCCAGCCCTGAGGTATTTCTGGAGTGACAACCTCAGCAACTTTTTTGCCACCACTTCTGTACCTGTCTAGCTACATGTAAGTACTACAAACTCTCCATTTTCCCCAGATTCTATACAGGTTATTAGTGAGGACTGCAGCCCACTGTGGGAAGCATACTGATTAGACTCTCCAAGCAGAGGTTTGGGTTTTGGGTTATTTTTTACTCGTTTTTAAATTTTTTATCGGGGTTTCTTTTTTGCACTGGAGTTTTTCTTTCACGCAACCTAAGAAAAATTCCAGTGCAAAAAAGAAACCCTGATAAAAAAGCCTAAAAACACGTTAAAAATACCCCAAAACCCAAACCTCTGCTTGGAGAGTAGACTGATTAGACCTGCATTCTGGAATCCACCAGGACAACTGTGGCTGTTTGTTTTGGACTCTGAAGAATTTTTGGACAGGAGCAGGAATTTGTGTGGATCCACACGACAGCCTGGTACTAACAAGGCACCACCAAACATCTGTACAGAGATTTTCTAACTACAGGACAGAGAATAGGTTAAGAATGTAGGGAAAACATAGCCTCAACCAGACCTTCGTAAGGGGTTGTGGAGAAAAAAAATAGGGTCACTCAACAGAAGAATGAGTAGTCATATCAAAATGCTGGTCAAACTCCCCTGTCAAATTATTCTCCGTTTGCTCAAATTTTACGAAACCCTATGGAGGCCAAAGTCTCAAGATAAATAATTCCCCATTTGCTGAAATTTTTGTATTTTCCTAGTGGAGACTTCAAGCAAAAATAAACATGACAGGCCAGGCCTATGAGTCATGGTTAAGGGTACATTTCAACATGCCGGCTCCTTGGCAGATAATTTGCCCAAATTTTACTATTTTCCTAAATAAAATAAACATGACAGGCAAGAAACTTGGTAAAGGCACTCTCCAGGTAAATTGTTCCCCATAATTTGCCCCAATGATAATAGAGACTTTAGCAAAAATAACCATGACAGGCTTGCCTGAGTCTGAATTGTCTGAGTCATCCGACATGTCAACCTTTCTCCTTTCTTCTCTGACAGAAGAAGACGTCGCCTGTTTTCAACCCTTAGACACAGCTTGTCTTCCTGTCGGACAATCCTTCTGACTGTTGTTGTTGTCCTCAGGTTTAATATCTCATTAGACGTGGTCTCTTGGTGCTGGTTTGCGTCTCTCAGTACACAGCTTCAATGTCAGTTCCTGTCCAAAGGGTCCTTCCGGCTTGCCGGCACTGTCCAGCAGTTGTTGTCCTAAACGACTAATATCTCGCTAGACGTGGACTCTTGGTGCTGGTTTGCGGCTTGGTTCAGTTCAAAGTCAAATTGTCTCTATAGGTATGTAACTCCTGGTGCCCTAACTTCAACTTTCCGTATACAGCTTGTCTTCCTGTGTGAGGTTCCTTCCTGCTTGCCTAGCCTTGCCAGCACTCACAGTGCCTCTGTCAGCAGCATGGGTAAATTAACTGGTCCAACCACCGTCTGACCTATCACCCCTCAAATTAGACACCTTACCGGTAGCTTGTAGTCAGTATAGCCTGTGGGCACAACGGTCCCAAACTGGGGCTCGGAGCTATTTCAGCAGAAAAAGTAGTGATGTTTTGATGTAGGCCACTATTTTCCACTCTGTTCTTGCTACTTCTGCTGCAACAGTCTGGACGTTCTTCAGCTAGACTCAGTCTTTCCTATATAATCTTCAACCGTCAAATTAGACACAAGCTTGAAGTAAATAACAGCCTCTGGGCACAACAGTCCAAACTGGGGCTTGAAGATATCAGCTGGAAAAGTAGTGATGCTTTGACACAGGACAATATCACTTTTGGACAAACTCAGACACTCCACAGCTGCACCCAGCCTTTCCTATCTTGAAGTTGTCTTCCTGCCTGTCCACTGACCCTCTCAAAATAGCCCTGGAGTCAGGCTCACACAGATGTCAGGAACCCCTTAGGCAGAGGCAGCAGGGCTGGTGGTGCACTGAGGTATCCTTGTTTGGATAGGCTGGGTGTCAGACTGTCTCCTGGGTAGCTAATTGGCTCCAGGGCCAACATGTCCCCTAGGAAATTTTACCATCGCCGTGGCTATATACACTCCCGGTGTGTATATAAAAGACAAATAGATTTTATATACACTCCGAAATACTAGCCTCCTTGGTAGGCCCAAAACTTGGGTTTTTGTGAGTGTTTGAGGATTCAGGGGCACCAAGTTTAAACCTCGGTCTTCAAGTTTATCTTATTGGATGATGAAAATCAGAAAACAACACGGAAATCTCCACCGAAGTTCGGTCGAGCGGACCGCCCCGCCCCGCTTGCGCGGGGCCCGGGACCCTCCACTCCCGGCGGCGGCGAGACCGGTCGCGCGCCCCTGGCGTCCTCGCTACCTGGTTGATCCTGCCAGTAGTCATAGGCTTGTCTCAAAGTTTAAGCCATGCACGTGCAAGTTTAAACTGTCTCAGTGAAACTGCGAATGGCTCATTAAATCAGTTATGGTTCCTTTGATC